CGCAAAGCGCCTGGCCACGCGGCGCACCTGTTCGGAGGCGGGGCCAGACATCAGCCGGGCGCGCACGGCCTCCACCATGTCCACCAGGCGCGCGGCAATCTCTGTCTGATGGTCGCAGCACCATTGCAGCCACTCGCGCCCCGCCACGCCGTAGCAGCTCGCCGCCGCGTGGGTCAGATGTTCCACCAGGGCGCCGGGTGATGCGTGCCCGTGCAGTTGCTCCACCCCGCCCATGCCCTCGCCAGCGTCCAGCGGTATATCGACCATGCGAACCTCTTGGCCAGCCATCACGCGTTTACCGGCCTCGGCCATGTGCGTGGACAAGCTCACCTCACCCGACGACAGGAACAGCAGGCGCCAGGTCCGCTGCTTGCGGTTTAGCCCACCCCGGGTGTTGCGGCCCTTCTCTTGCTCATTGGCCAGCATGTAGGCGCACTCACCGGCCTTGCTCGCATCGAGCTGGGCAATCTCGTCCAGGATCAGCAGCCCGTCGCTGTGCTGCACGGCTGTGGCCTCCAGGGCGTTATCTGTCGTGCGCCAACGCTTCACGTAGTCAGGCCGGCCCCACACACTGGCCGCGATCCGCAGCGCCGATGTCTTGCCCTGGCTGGACCCACTGCGGAAGTGAAAGCCACCACTCTCCACGCCGGCCGGCAGCAGCAGTGCACCAGCGAAGCCACAGGCCACCGCGAACACGAATCGGCTGTTGCCCACGCACAGCGCTGCCACGCCGGCCCGCCAGGCGTCCACGTCGCCGCGCATGCGGAACGTGTCTTCCGCGCCGCTTTCGCTTTGGAAGACGTAGCGTCGGCCCTCAGCCTGAGTAGTCGGCACGATGCATCGGCTCGGCAGCACGTAGGCGCTACCGTGCCAGCCAACGCGGTCCGTGCAGGTGACCCGCTCCCCCGGGTGCCGGGTCTTGATGTACTGCGCGAGGCGCCCGCGAGCAGCCGGCCCGTGCGATATCTCCAGGCCCATGTCAGCCAGGCGCGCAGCCCACTCCGCTCCCTCCCCGCTCAGCAGGGCAACAGGCATCGCCCATTGCTTGGCGTTGCCGTCCGGGTCAGTGAACTCAAGCAGGTAGCCCCAGCCGTTCGCAGCGTCATCACGCGTGCGGGCCTGGACCTGCAGCGGCGCGCATACCCACTGCGGCGGCCTGTCGTCGCCCTGGCTGTCGCGGGCCACGAACCACACACCGCGCTCATCGAGCG